AGGAGTGGTGCCTCGGTGCGCACCCGGGATCCGAACCCGGGCCGCCGGCAGCGGAGCGCACGCACTTAACCGCCAAGCCACGGGGCCGGCCCTATAAGCTAATTTTTAAATCAACCAAACCAAATAACTAGGTAAATCTTCTATTTTAAACAGAAATCATAATGTATCCTAAAACCTAAATATAATTTTTAACTTTTTATTTTGAGATAATTGAAAATTCATGTACAGTCGTAAGAAATAATACAGAGAGATCCCATATACCCATCACCCAATTACCCCTAATGGTAACATTTTGCATAATAACTATAATACAATATCACAGACAGGAAATTCACATTGATACGATCCACCAAACTTATTGAGATTTTTCCAGTTGTATATGCATTCATTTGTGTGTTTATGTATGTACTTAGTCCTATACAATTTAATATATATGTAGATTTGTGTGAGCACCACCACAGTCGAGATATAGAACAGTTCCATCCCAAGGATCCCTCGTGCTACTCTTTTATATCTACAGCCACCTCCCTTCCCACCCCACTCCTAACCCCTGGCAACTACTAACTCATCTGTTCTCCATCTCTATACTTTTGTCATTTCAAGAGTTAAAACAGAACATTAAAACATTTCAAGTTGTTTAAAACAGAAGATTTACGTAGTTATTTGGTTTGATTGATTTAAAAATTAGCTTATATTCCTTGAGTACTCACCAGTTGATGGCAATGGAAAGCAGCTTAGATATCTGCTAAGTGGAAGTGGCAGTTTAGAATTTAAAATTTCCTGTAGATAATTCATAAAATCTCAGCTTTCCTTCTTTGGGCCAGGTTAAACACATTTGTAAAAAGTAGTATAGTTCATCTAGGCAAAACCTCAAATTTTATATAAATGGAATCATACAGCATGTAACCTTTTGAAATTGGCTTTTTTCTGTCAGCCTAATTCCCTTAAGATCCATCTAAGTTGTTGTTTGTATCAATTGTTTATTCCTTTTTATTGCTGAGTATTATTTCATGGTGTGGATGTACCACAGTTTGTTTAACCATTCACCCATTGAAGGATACTTAAGTTGTTTCCAGTAGGTTTGAATAACACTGTTATGACAATAATGGACTACAGGTTTTATGGGAACATAAATTTTTAATTCTGTGGGATAAATGCCCAAAAGTGCAATTGCTGGGTCATATGGTAAGATCAGTTTTGTAAGAAACTGCCAAACTATTTTCTAGAATGACTGTACCATTTTACATGCCCACGAGCAATTTACAAATGATCCAGTTTCTCCAGTTCTCACTAGCATTTGGTGTTATCACTATCTTTTTTTAAATTTTAGCCATTCTGATAGGTGTGTAGTACGTCACCTGTGGGCATATGTGTGTTGACCCTTGTCTCACTTATCTATGAGAAGAGAAATTATTAAATTAGACACAGTTAATTACAAACCGCTTTCATGAGAGGTTCCTCAAAAATCTTATGTAAAGACATTAGGCCTTCTTTAGACAAGTTATTCCTGCAGAATTGTAAGCTAATTGGTCATCTTCTTACTTAGAGTCAGACATCTTTATGTAAGAGCCTCAGACCTGAGTCTTAACTGCATGCCTTCTAAACCTGCAAATCTTTACCTTTCCTTTCTGAGGCCTTCTTAGCCTCTCGAATCCTTTCTGTTTCTCTCTGCAGGGCCATGCCTTACCTGTTGGTTCTAAAATCCAAAGAGATATGAACAATAAGATATCAGAGAATATTTTTCAATTTATTTTCTAGTTCAAAGCAAGCAAAACCTCTTTGTTTTACTATGTACTCATCACCTCCAATTGGTATCCTTTGGCTTGTAGTTCTAACTGTACCTGCTGGTCAGGTTGCAGAGGAGACTGTAATTGAAGAAGAAGAGGAAGAAGAAGCAGAAAAGTTGCCACTGACTAAGAAACCAAGGATAGAAGAGATGACAAACAGTGTAAAGGAAAGCAAGGTATTGTTTTGGCTGTGGTGGAGAGAAGACAAGGGAAAGAATCAAAAGCCGTAACTTTTAAGGCCTGAACCTTTCTTTATCTTTTTGTCTACATTTTGGATAATCGGTGATCAGGAATTCTTACCTGGTGGTGACATGGTTTACTTTTACAGGAAGGGACTGAAAGAGAGCTACTACAGCAGCAGCTTCAGGAGGCCAATCGAAGAGCACAGGAATACCGACACCAGCTCCTAAAGAAAGAGCAGGAGGCAGAACAGTACCGCCTGAAGCTTGAGGCCATGGCCCGACAGCAGCCCAATGGAGTTGATTTCACCATGGTTGAAGAGGTGGCTGAGGTAGATGCTGTAGTAGTCACAGAGGGGGAGATGGAAGAAAGAGAGACGGAAGTGATTGGGGCAGGAGGGACCACACAGCCTCATGCTGGAGTTTCCATGGAAACTGTTTCATCTTAACATGCAAGGGCCACAACTTGTACTAGGTCCATCTTTTTCCTCTTTTTAAAAGAAAATACAGAGGACAAACATTGTATAAAAATTAAGAATGTCCTTAAGAAGAAAACTATAGCAGGGTACAATTCTTGGGCTCAGGAAGGCTCTCTGTGTAACTGGAAAATTCAAAACTTCTTCTGAGGGACCAAAAGAATGAGAACCAAATTTCTCAGTTCACAGCATTGCTTTAAGCATAGAGGTAAAAGAATGCTGGATGTTGTGGGTTGATTGTTTTTTAAATAACTGACTTTGTATCAAAAGATTTTAAGATGACTTTCCTAATATGGACACACCGAGAGCCTTTAATAATTGTACCATTAGGTGACCTGAAAATTTGTCTTAGATTTATGATGTGTACCTTTTAGAGAAGAAAATTAATTGGGAGGGAGGTTAGAAGCAAGCCTTGGGGAAGAGAAAGGAATGAATATATTCCGCTTCCAAGAGAGTAGGCACTCCCCACTATGCTGAGTTAATTTCACTGAAAAGAATTTTGTGATTGCCTGACTAAATTTGCATCCATTGTGTGTCCATAGCTCAGATGCCAGTTTAAGAAACTGAAATAGAATTTTTAAAAACTGGAAAGAAAACTTGTTTATGTAGGAGAAGTGTATATAAATCCAAAATCCTCCAGGCTGTGCTTCCACAATGCTGGAAAGTGGCCAAAAAGATGCTTGTGGGGTTATAAAACAATCTGGTCTCAAGATACAAACTAGCTCTGGCTGAATTTTATAAAATCGCAATCAGGAGGGTAGTCTGTTGTTAGAACAACTTGCTTCCAAACATTTATGTATGTAATATCAAGCTTTCATATCAACTTTTTAATTTTATGAAATTTTGTTGAGTGTTCTAAGTGTGCCTTTCTGTGGAGCTTACATGGTATCCTCTTATATGCACAAAAAAGAAGCGAGGGAGAGATGAATGCTGAGGATGTTGTGTGGTTTTGTTTCCATTTGATTTGGGGTGAGTAAATTGCTCTGTTTCCTTAAGGTCAAGCCTTGTGCAGAGCTTTTGTGCCTTATAGGTGCTCAGTGTGTGTTGGGAAAGGGAGTAAGAACTATCAGTGCCATAAAGTAAGGAACCAAAGATTCTCGCCAGATACTTCACCTGTCTTAATCCCTTCTCTCCCACTATGCCTGTTCCCTTTGCCTAGATACTTTTGGAAAGTGTTTCATTGCTGGGTATTCTTTGTGTGCCAGCTTGGAGTTTTTTCAAAAGGAAGGGAATATGGATGGAGAGAGGTTGTGGAGAGGTTACTGCCTTTGAAATTGGGCCTTCGTCATTTTAGACTTGCTTGCTTTGTTGTAAATTAGAAGAAACCAGAGGGAGATGTGCCAAGTAAACATTTGACTGACTGTTTAGAATACAGTTTTCTTAATTAGCAATCATGGAGAAAACATACATTTTTAATTTGGAATAAAACTTGACGGTTAACTTGGTTCTATTTACCTTGATTAGTGAACTAATTTGCTGCAGTTTTCCAAAGGTGCAGAATTATTTGGGGCTCAAATTAAACTGAAAACATAACTCCCCAAACCAAATTTAACAAACAGAATTGGCTATTAGAGGCTTATGGCCAAAAATATCAGTTTTGAAATTAATCTCCATGGACTTGAGTACTGAGTACTTCCCAGATGATCAGAGATTACTCTGGGCTGTTGGGGATGATAGAGAAATGCAATGGAGGAGCCTAGGTAAAGGATGAGGGTAAAATTGTGGTGTCTTCTGTAAAATTGTCCTGTTTCTGTTTGTGATCTTTTTCTTTTTTCTGAGTCCCTTTGTGAACCAGGTGCTAACAATAAGCTGCTATTGTGTGCCATTTCAGAGCCTTAGCTTAACTATAGAGGGACCAAGTATCATTTTAGATGTGTTTTGTTTACGTTCTTGGTGTATATCTTGACTTCAATTCCTTTTTGTTTTCTTTCCTGTTAAGGGGGTGGAGGTTAACTCTACAGAAGATGTCTAGGCCCAACCACCTCACTCTCTGGGGTAGCTTCTGACTGAGGACAGGGAGTATCCATTCAACACTCCCTTCTGGGCATACAGAGTCCCTACTGTTTTGGGTAACTGTATAGAGGTTCTTAATTCTTCTCTTTCTGTAGGAAGCTATCATTCCCACCCAGAAAAATCTCTAATACGGCCCAAATCATTTTGATGATGGGGTCTCTGAGATAGGGAGTTAAAGGAGAGGTTAGGATAGGGAGAGAGAGAAAGGAAATGTCTGGAAGGGGGGGTAGCAAAAAGGTATTTGTTTTTATTTACTTGGAATAGACCTTTTAGCACCCCGGAGAAGGGAAATAGGGTTTGATCTCCAGTTGTATTGCCATGGAGAGAAGGGTAGGTCAGGATCCCCTGAAGTAGTCAGAAGTTAAATATTAAATGCGTTAATGGCAATACCCTTTTAGGATTTTGCATATCTTTCTGGATCAGCCATGGAAGTTGGGAAAATGTTGCTAGATCTTTTGGGTTAGGGGATTCCAACTGGCTTTTGGCAAGGTTGAATTACAGAGAATCAAATAACAGACAAGTGGTTCAGAGTTGGTACTTGAGCAGGAGAAACCTGGAGCCTAGGATGATTGCCTACTTTAAAACAAAGCTGCTTTAACAATATCAGTATTAGTATAGGAATTTTAGACTGTATGTTTTCATTTTGGTCTTAAGCCTTTCCCCAAAAAAGAGAAAGAAATCTTAATGTATCTGTTCTTGTTCCTGGCTTCAGGGAAATTAGTTATAAATATGTAAGTGTACATTCCCTTCCTATCACTATCTCTGTGGGATCTCTTAATTGTAATACCAGAGTTAAGGTCTCTTAATTGAAACATGAGAGAACTTGGCTTTAGGTTTTCTGTTTTGAACTCAGTGCCTTAAAAGATGTTCTTTTTCTCTCTCAGATCTGTGTATAGTTATTTGGGGTTTTGCCTTTCCCCCTTCTTCATCCTTACCATTGCATTATTAGCATTTTTGTGTCTGCTCAGTAATATTAGAAATCTATGGCATACAAAATGACTTTCTTTCTTTATTTTTATGTGAAAGAAATGAATTTACTAGAGGGCTCTCCAGTTGACGTTAAGTATTATGTGATCAGAGGATCTTTAATACTCCTTTGCTGGATGTATCTTAGTGCATACATTTATAAACACATAGGGATTTTCCCACTTTTCTCTTTGTTTATTTGAGGTTCAACTCCAAAGTACCTGGTATAACCTGGAAATATTTTTATTTCATTAAAGACGTTAGAGAGGGTTTCTTTGGATTCACTAAAGGGGCTGAGGAAGAAAAAGCATTACTTTGGCCCTTTTCCAAGAGGTGTGCTCTAACAGGTGGTGATAAGAAACCTGAGGAGTAAGGGCCCAGGGAGAGCCAGTACCTGGCTTTACAGAGATTTTTTTAGCATATAGTGTGATGACACCATGTAAACTGAAAGATTCAGAGCAGTGTCAGGAGAGAGAAGGAGCTGCCTTTCCATAGAGCAAGACTCCTTCCCACTCCTATGGCAGCTCTTTTGACTGGCACTTGTAAAATCTCTCACACCTCTGAACAGGAAAGAAACCCTAGATAAAGGGCCATGGTGGAAGGAACAGACATTCTATATATCTACTTTCCCATTTTAGAAATCTCATCCTTTTGAGAAGTGATTATTTTGAGAAAGCTCATAACAAACAACATTATGGACCTCCAGAGCTAGAAGATTTGAGGCATATAGTGAACTCTTCCCAGAAGTTTAATATTGAGTGAGAATCAGTTTTTGTTAGATTTCTTAGGGGATGGCCTCTTATTCTCCACTCCTTGTGCAGACCTCTCTGTATGGCCAGAAAAGGAGCTTTAGAGTGGAATACATGTCAAGACCACCTATATGCTGCTCTAAGCTCTTATCTTTCTCCATTTTATGTGATGAATATTTTCCCTTTCTGAGTTAGTACTCTGTTTCCTATGCCAATATATTTAACAAGAGGTCAGGAGCAAGAAGGATATGAATTCAAATTAAGTAGCTTTGAGCCTCTGGTGCTGCCTTTTTTTTTTTTTTTTTGAGCCTCTCTAGGATTAGGAGGTGGGGTGACATTCTTAGACTCTACAGTAGCAGTAGCAATTTGGCTTGTTAATGGCAGGAAATTGTGATTCCCTGTCTCTTTCTCTCCTCCCCTTTCCCCTCTAACTACTTCTGCTTCTGTAACCCCATTGTTTTGATCTCATTGAGTCTTTCCCAGGCACTAGAATTTAATTAGTAGGTCATTTCTAATCTATGGGCCTTGTCTTTCCTTTTTCCACTCCCTTCTTTCCCTACTACATACTTTGTTTATTCTGAAGTGGTTTGTTTGTGAGAATTAATCTAGGTTACACCCCATATCCTGTGCTTCCTAGTTGGTTTCAGGCGTCTTGCTCTATCAACAATAATGATAGTGGCTCCCTTCTCTGGCCTGTGTACTATCCTTCTGCCAAGGCCATTTGTGTTGGGGCAGAGAAGGAGAGTGGGTGGAGTGCCTAGGTTCTTCGCAACATGTCCTCAGTTTTTCAGGTTGTCTGACAGCTTTATGTACAGTATGTTTTAGGAAAACTTAAATATACTTCTTTTTTTTATTTAGGATTTTAATGAAATAGGGTTTGATTCTGATGAGCAAGTTTGTGTGCATGTGTGTGTGTGTGTGGCCATTTGTGTGTATATACACCTATAAAGATCTATATTATATATACAATTTTTATACTGTCATTTAAAATAAAGATGTTTCTTAATAAAATGTCAAAGTCTTACCATTCCAGGGTGTCGTTGAAATTTTTTCCATCTCCTGGGCAAAAATGGTATCTACTACCTGATCACAGATAAACCTCAGTAGCAAGTTTTCCCTGTCCAAATAAGCGAATGAGGGTGGAGTGCGGGGGAGGGTGTTGGAGGAGGCTCTTCTTTCCCTTGTTGGGGTCTCTTCTAACCCATTAACACCTCTGCCTTTTCCTTATCTAGCCACTCCTTAGCTAGTATTCTTTTTTTGTGTGTGAGGAAGATCAGCCCTGTGCTAACATCTGCCAATCCTCCTCTTTTTTGGCTGAGGAAGACTGGCCCTGGGCTAACATCCATGCCCATCTTCCTCATCTTTCTCCACTTTATATGGGACTCCGCCACAGCATGGCTTGCAAAACAGTGCATTGGTGTGCGCCCGGGATCCAAACCGGTGAACCCCGGGCCTCCGCAGAGGAGCACGCGCACTTAACCGCTTGCGCCACCAGGCCGGCCTCCTCAGCTAGTATATTTAACACGCAGAGCAAGTTGAGGTAGGAACTGAAGTGAGAATGGAGAGAGCTTTTGACTGGCTTGTTAAATATACATCTTCCTCCCTTCTCTCATCCCCCACTCCCTTCCCTAAAAGCTAACAACACAGAGATAACCGTGGCTGAAGGAAATGATTCTGTGCCTTGTGTGGGAGTAAAGCAATG